AAGATAAGAAGCTTTAAAATGAAGTAGCAGTATTGTTTTTCAAACCATGGAGAATATTAAAGAGCCATTCACATACATTCATATGACAAGCTGAGAACTGCTCTAGTCTCAAGACAGAATGGGGAAATATGCGATCTTTAAATCTAAATGGAATGTAGCTGCATAAATTCCAGATTATTTGGTTTGAACTGGATTATATGGCAGGGTAGACTCGGATATTATGGATTATATGGCAGTATAGAAAGGCCCTTACACTAAAAGGTAAAATCTTGGTTGGAAGCAGTGGAAGAAACTGTAAACATGTGAAGAACGAAATGTGTGTTGGGGGCGAATCTTTAAAATAGCCAGGACTATACAGCTAGAAATATTTCCCTCTAGGGAAAAAGTGTGCTTTTTGTGACATTTGAACTTGTACTTTCTCAAATTGGAAGCAACTTTTAAGTTCTGTAATCCTAAAAATTTGAAAACGGAAGGGAAAATTCATTGAGGGGTTGAATTCCTATTTGAGGGGCAGTTGCTTCATTTTGTCTCCCTCTGGAGCTAAATCTTTGATATGAACACGTTATCAGTGAGAATGAATGAGATCAGTGAGAATGAATAGTAATCGGGGAGGATAATTAATTGTAGGATATGTTCTGAGCTGACTTCAGATGCGTTTAGTCATTTAGGAAATGTGCTATAATTTTGGACAGTCACAGAAATATCCATAGTGAATGTTGATTGATCATGCGTGGTGAACTTCAGTTTTAAGCTGATGTGGGTTTTTTTGTTGGGGGGAGGGTAGGGATTGCTGGTTTAGTATCATGTGTGTGTTGGTTTCAGGATGACTGAAAATGGTCTTTCTATTCCAGCGATTATTAGCAAAGGATGCCTGATATGTGTGTGTGTGTGTCTATCAGGCATCCTTTGCTAGTAATCGCTAGAATAGAAAGGCCATTCTCAGTCATCCTGAAAACAACACACACATGATACTAAATTATAGCAGATTTCCTAAATGACTAAACGCATCTGAAGTCAGCTCAGAACATATCCTACAATTAATTATCCTCCCTGATTGTATGAGTGTGTTTGTGTGTACACACACACACACACACAAAAGCTTGGGTACCCGGTAATACCCAGGTTATTTGAAAAAGGCATTGTTTGTTTTGGAGTGAAAGGTAATTTCATTTAGTTAATTAGTAACACTGTTTATTAGGAAAAAGCCAGAATGTGATTTCGTTTTTTTATATGAATACTCCCATTAGAAAATACATAATGATGTGGATGAACTACAATTCCTAGAAACGTGAGTCAATCCTCCCCAAACCAGGCCTGTATGTACAGTTGGCCATGTTAGGTGTGTGTGTCAAGTTTGGTCCAGATCTGTTCTCAGCTGGGTTCAGTGCTCTCTGGACACCTCCAATCTGTTCAATCACTGATCAATTCCTCTGTGCTTGCTGTGTGCCATAGGAATTGGTAAGAAAGGGTTAAGAGAGAGGCTGTGGATGGGGTCATGCATTCTGCACAAAGAACCCTGGAATGCCTGCCTGTGGTGGAGGAAACACGTCAAATCTAGGATGAAATTCTCCCTGAATGAAAGCATTCCTTGGGCAGTGGGTCATAGTGTTTGGGGAGGACATTGGCGACATTTGGGCTACATGTTTATTGAACGATTCCATCAGCGCTGCCTCCGGAAAATCCTGCAAATCTCTTGGGAAGACAAGTGGATAAACGTCAGCGTGCTGGAAGAAGCAAAGACCACCAGCATTGAAGCGATGGTCCTCCGCCACCAACTCCGCTGGACCGGCCATGTTGTCCGGATGCCCGACCACCGTCTCCCAAAGCAGCTGCTCTACTCCGAACTCAAGAACGGAAAACGGAATGTTGGAGGACAGGAAAAGAGATTTAAAGATGGGCTCAAAGCCAACCTTAAAAACTCTGGCATAGACAGTGAGAACTGGGAAACCCTGGCCCTTGACCGCTCCAGCTGGAGGTCAGCTGTGACCAGCAGTGCTGCAGAATTTGAGGAGGCACGAGTGGAGGGTGAAAAAGAGAAACATGCCAAGAGGAAGGCACGTCAAGCCAACTCCGGTCGAGACCGCCTTCCACCTGGAAACCAATGCCCTCACTGCGGAAGAAGATGCAGAGCAAAAATAGGGCTCCACAGCCACATACGGACCCACAAGAATATTGGAAGACAATCATCCTCGGAAAGCGAGGGATCGCCTAACTAACTAACTCCACATGTTTATGGTGCTCGCTATACCTAGTCAGTTGAGGGGAATGCCTTTGGAGGCTTCTCAGCACTTGGAACTATAGCCTGTTTATAGAGGCAGGAGGCTGTCTGTGTAAGTGTAAGTGGACACCTCCGCTACAGACACACATACACATTTTTCACTTTCATTATGTGTGTGTGTGTGTGTACACACACATTTCTTGGTGCTGCAAAAGAAACTTTTGCTTCCAAAAGGGTTCTACGAGTAAAAAAAGTCATCCAGTACATTAACCATCTAGTTTTGAATCATCTGCACACTTGAAGAAAAAAAAATAGAAGAGTAATGGCCCTAGGAGGTGGTGGAGGCTCCTTCTTTGGAGGCTTTTAAACAGAGGCTGGATGGCCATCTGTTGGGGGTGTTTTGAATGCAATTTTCCTGCTTCTTGGCAGGGGGTTGGACTGGATGGCCCATGAGGTCTCTTCCAACTCTATGATTCTAGGACAGAATCCAGAGCTGTTCCATTGGAAACCTTTTTCCAGTTTGAAGTTCAGCCACTATCTTTAGGGCATACATTTTTGAGGAATTAATAATCCGTCTGACAGTATTCCCACCTATTGCACATTTAATCCATTTGCTAATCCAAATAGTACAGGAGGCCTTATCAAATTATTTCCTGAAATTCAAATAAATGACATCCATAATTTTTCCACCTTCTCCTAAATTAGTGACTAGATCTGTGATGGTGAACCTGTGACATGCATGTTAGCACTGACACGCATGGCTATTTTTGATGACACGTGGCCACATGTGGCTGTATACAGAGAAGTACACCTTATAAGAGCCAATCTAATTCCATCCTTAAATTTGTAAAAGGCTCTACAAATTTAACATCTGCACATTTGAGCATTGTTCACTCCATAGCTCAGAATGGAATATACATTTTTCTTATTTAAACTATAAATATTGCAAAATTATGGTTTTCTTCCTCAAAGTTAACACTCCACCCAAGTTATGCTCAGGTTTTGGGCAAATTTTGACACACCAAGCTCAAACGGTTGCCCATCACTGGACTAGATCAAGAAAAAGTATAAGATTACTGTGGCAGGATTTGTTCTTGACAAACCGATGCTGACTCCTAGTAATCACTATATTGTCATCAAAATACTTGGGGACAGACTCTAATTTGTATATTCTGTTTTAGTATTTTTCTCAATATTGAAATCAGGCTAACTACTCTCTGTAGTTTACTGCATTTTTTTGTCTTTTTGAAGAGAGGGACAGTTTTTGCCCTTTGCTGGTCTTCTGGCACCTCACCTATTCTCCCAGTATTTCTGAAAAATGAAGACAATGAGTTCAGAGAGTATATCAGCCAGTTCCTTTAGTACTTTTGGCTCTGCAGACTTGAACTCGTTTAGCTTAGGTGATTTCTAACTCCATATCAATCTTGATTTGAAATCCAGATCCCTTTGCCAAAGTCTGCTGCATGAAAGCACACAGTTTCAACATCTGTACTTGAGCAGAAATTACTTCTGAAACTCCCTGCTCAAAAGAAATCACTGCAGCATTAAAAATAATTAAAGGGGATGCAATGTGATGGCAGTAATTGCCAATATTTTATGCCAGATTCTGAGTACATCTGCCACTCTTTTATTACTCTTTTACCTGGAAACTATGACTGGTAGACCCAAGTCATTTTCGTTGAGTGCAAAAGACGCTTGGTGTAGATCTTTGGATGCCCCACCTCCCTTTTTGATGTTTAGTGTTCTCGATTCATCAAGTTTTGTCTTCCAAATAGGATATATGGGTGCAAAACATCAGACATACATGGGTAACTCCAGTTGTTAGTCAAAATTAGAATCAATGAAAATTTGGAAGACTCTGTTTCAATTTGGTGGATTTCTTATAGTTGAGGCGAGCAACTAGATTTAGTTTATAGTTCTCCAAATCGTATCTTAATTCAGATGCTTTTGCATCTGTATCTGATTTCCCTGAAAGTGTGTTGCTTATGCTTACCTATTTTTTTTAAATTGTATCATACATAGAAACATAAAATCTTCAAAATTAAGTAGTCAAAATACCAGTATGTTTCCCCAATCCCACCACCACCACATCCCCATCTCCCCTCCTCCCCTGCCCAGGAAAAGTTTGCTACTCTTGCTATACTTATTACAATGGTTCGATCATGAGGATAGTCTTATTTAACTCCTTATATTTATCTTTCCCCTTTATTCTGGAAATGAGACCCTTCCATTTTGCCTCCCAGGTCCTTCTGATTTGACCCATCCTATAGTAACTTTTCCTTTTACTAATATAATCTTGGAGTAGGTAGTCGGCTAGATATTTATACCAAGTTTTATATCCCATTTCTTGTGGTCCTTCCAGCCTAGGGCAACTGAGGCTTTGATTGCATCCATCATGTGTTGTATTATTTCCTCCCGTTCTTTAAATTCCCCCTTGCCTTCCATTTTTCTGAGTGAAAAATTGAGTTTTGTTCCATTCTATATTTATCCCTAATAGTTGCTCCATTTCCTTCTTAATTATTTCATAGAACATTTGTATTTTTTTGCATTCCCACCACATGTGGGTGCATGTACCGGTTTTTCCACAATTATGCCAACATAGTTTTGGGCACGTTTTCGTAATATATGAAAATGTACCATTTTGTCAGTATTTTCCGTTGCATTTCCTTAATCTTTAGATGTTTTATTTTATTGATTGATTTCCCTGAAAGTGTGTTGCTTATGCTTACCTAATATTTGTTGATTAGTGTAACCTAAACAAAATGCTTTTTTTGTGTTGCAGGGAAAGCATAAATTGCATGTAAACACAGGACTAGAAGGCAAATGGTGTGGCCTCATTCCTATTGGGAGCGCTTGTGATTGTGTTACTACAACAGGCCTAAAATGGAACCTTGGTAAGTCAGACATTTTGTTTCCAGAATACAAACAATTGTTAAGATACTCTAGGTCAGGGCTTCTTAAACTTTTCCATTGGGACACCTTTTGGTCTAAGAAATTTTTACATGACCCTGAGTATGTAGATATATAAAATAGGCATATAATACTGATTAACAAATCAGCATTTTCAAGGCTTGTTAAACAAGCTGGTTTTCCTTTTTTGTGAAGTACAGCTGAAGCATCTTCTGCAGAATCAACTGTAAACACTGCACAACAGATTCCTATAAATATCTAAATCGGCCACTAGATAGCGTTCAGAAAAATTCTTCAGGACCCCAACATTGAGCTAAGAGGACCCCATTTGGGGTTGGGACACACAGTTTAAGAAGCCCTGCTCTAGGTCACACATGTCAAATGCAAGGCCTGTGGGCCACATCCAGCCCACCACATCATGTTATCATCATCATCATCATCATTTTTAATTACTTATTAATCACCCTCCATCTGAGATGCTCCAGGCGATTTACATAGCAGAAATTATACAGGATAAAACACATACATACAAATATTAAAATTAACATGGGTCAAATGCTCTAGTAAAAAGCCAGGTCTTAAGTGCTAGGATAAAATGCCCTAAGTCACGCATGGCTCTCAAATAGGGAGGCAAGGAATTCCATAAGGCAGGGGCAGAAATAGAGAAGGCCCTGCGTCTGGTGCTTTCCAAGTGCACTTCCCTAGGACCCGGTATATAGAGCAAATCGCGTTGGGATGGTCGTGGTGACCTCCGATGATGGGAGAAGGAGAGACGGTCTCTAAGATACAATGGACCCTGGCCATATAAAGTTTTAAAGGTCAGGACCAGCATCTTATACAAACCACAATAGTCAATTGGGAGCCAGTGTAGATGCCGCAGCACTGGTGTTATATGGCATTTCATGGGTGTTTTGTGAGTAACCAATACGGAGCTTTCGGGTCGTAGAAATAGGAAGGCCAACATACAAGGCGTTACAATAATCTAGCCTAGATGTGACCGTGGCATGGATGACTGTTGCCAGAGCCTCATCCGACAGGTAAGGTGCCAGTTGCCTTGCTTGTCGTAGATGGAAAAAGGCCTGTTTGCTGGTAGCAGCGACCTGAGCTTCCATCTTCAGCTGCGAATCCAAAACGACACCTAGGCTCTTAACGGTAGGCGATGGAGATAGAGCAATACCATCAAAGGTAGGTAACGGATGGGTCGGACCTATCGGGCGGCCATGCCACAGGATCTCAGTGTTTGCCGGATTCACCTTCAGTCTGCTAGCACATAGCCAGTTTGACAAAGCCTCCAGGCATAAGGTGAAATTATCAGGTATTGATGTTACTCCAGGCTCCAAGCGCAACAGGAGTTGGGTGTCGTCCGCATATTGATAGCAGTCCAGGCCGAATCTCCGAGCCAAACTGGCAAGGAGTGTAACGTAGATGTTGAAAAGAAAAGGGGAGAGAATTGCACCTTGGGGTACCCCGCATAGGAGAGGTGAACTTTCGGAGACTTGGTCCATATATTCCATGCACTGACTCCGATTTCAGAGGAATGAATTGAACCAATTGAGGGCCTGACCGCGAACTCTGGATATGGTGAGATGGTGGATCATTAAATCGTAGTCAACGGTGTCAAATGCTGCGGTAAGATCGAGAAGTACCAGAAGCGCCGATCTGCCGCTATCAGACTAACGACGAAGTTCATCTGTAATAGCAACCAGGACCGTCTCCGTCCCATGACCCAGGCGAAAACCTGACTGGAAAGGGTCCAGGCCGGCTGTGTCATCCAAAAATTGCTGTAATTGTCCCAATACAGCCCGCTCTATCACCTTACCTAAGAATGGAAGATTAGAAACGGGATGATAATTGAGACGATTATGGCTTTCAATACCAGCAACATAGTTTCATTTATAAAGTCCTACAGTTACAAATAGCCCTTTGAAGCCAACCATAAGGCTAATGTAGCCCTAGGTGAAAATTAGTTTGACGCACTTGCTCTAGGTGACACTGAAGGAGGATGTGTTGTGGGGAAACAGAGAAAAGTATATTGCAAATGCTTGTTTTCTGTTTACCGAGTATTTGCAGATACCATTGAATAAGCTAGTACTTTATTTGTAAGGAAACTTATTTCTTCTGAAAAGAAAGGACTAATTAAAGTTGATGGAGTAGTATATTCCTTACTTCTAGAAACTTTTTTTGCAAATAGTGTGTGTAATTTGGGATATCTTGAGGATTTAGGGAAGATAACTCATTTTCCCTGAGCAAGATTGAGGCAAGAAGCATATTCCTAGTCCAACTCTGCAGTCTGTGCATCATTACCAGCATAATGCCGCTTCACGCGCCTGCTGAATGAGTGGTTGTCAATTACATGCCCAGTGATGTACTATAGCTGGAGGTGTCACCAGAAGAAACCATACTGCAATCCCCCAACATGTTTATCAAAGAGAAGAGGGCCTTTGTATGTTTATAAATTGTAGGTGGAAAAGACATAAAGATTTTTTATGACATTTCTAGTCACAGGGGTATGTGAAAGGAAATGGAATAATTGTATTTCAACTTGCATATCACAAAAAGAAATGTATTTGTCTCCTAAGCAGAATGCTTTCAGCAGAAGGTTTGTTGAGGTCATGATACATTACCCTGCAAATACATTAATCTTCAAGGAAAGCACGTTTCTGAGGCCTAAATCTCATACTTTATAAACCATAAAATTGACAGGCAAATAATAGAGCAATATAGATTATTAAAAGTCCCTCTTTCCCCCTGAACTGCTTGTTATAACTCATTTATTTCTCAATTCTGGCTGAGTATATGGTTGGAGGTTGTTTTTTCTTTGAATGAAATAAGTTCTGGATAATATGAAAAGCAAAATGGAAAAATAAGAAGACAACTTCCTATCTCATTTTTAGTTCTGAAAAAGCTGTGGGGAAGATAACCAGGATTTTCAGCTCTTGATTCACTGCAGATTCCACAATGCAGACAAAACACCCCAAAGACAGCAGATTTCAAAATATTACTGTTTAATTTGCAAAGGTGATAAAGATATATGGAATGAATTGTGCATGCACTTTTAAACTATGGGCACGAGGAAAATAAAATGCTTAGGAGTGTTGATACAAAAATATAGATAAGATGACAGAAATTCTAAAGAAGCGTGGGACAAACTTTCAAGGACTATTAAAGGGAGAAAAAACAAAAATTTGGACATTTGGGGCAAAATAAAAGCAGTCAAAATGTTCTTAATCCCAAAATTAATGTATTTATTTTAAGACTTTCCAACGAAAATTAACCAAAGACAATTCAATATATGGAACAAAACTTCTTTTGGAGAGAAGAAATCTAGAATTATATATCCCTGGAGGAGCTATGATGGGAAATCCCAAACCTGAAACTATACTACTACTACTACTACTACTAATAATAATAATAATAATAATAATAATAATAATAGCTTTGTTTATATTATTAGTAGTAGTATAGTTTCAGATTTGGGATTTCCCATCATAACTATATTATTATTATTATTATTATTATTACCTGTCCCCTGCCACACGTTGCTGTGGCCCAGTCTGGTGATCTGGAAAATAAAGTAATTAGAAAATGTTGGTTTCTAATATATGTAATTTCTTTATGCTTGTGAGTAAAAAGTATTTCTTGCTGTTTCTTTGTCAGTGTTGATGTAGAGATGATCTGGTTTGCCTACTCTGGAACATTCAACATATAATTGTCCTTCTTTAGGAGTCCCTTTCAAATCTGTGATACTATATCTGTGTGTGTGAATCATATATATCTATCTATATCTATGGCTGCATGGCTCTTTGTCAGGAGGGCTTTGATTATGTTTTCTTGCCCCGGTGAAGGGAGTTGGACTGGATGGCCTTAAGTATTTTCTGTTAGTCATGGGGGTTCTGTGTGGGAAATTTGCCCCAATTCTGTTGTTCGTGGGCTTCAGAATGCTCTTTGATTGTTGGTGAACTATATATCTAAGTAACTACAACTCCCAAATGTCAAGGTCTATTTCCCCCAAACACCATCTGTGTTCATATTTGGGCATTTTGAGTATCAGTGCCAAGTTTGGTCCAGATCCATCATTGTTTGAGTCCACACTGCTCTCTGGATGTAGGTGAAGTACAATTCCCAAACTCAAGGTCAATGCCCACCAAACCCTTCTACTGTTTTCTGTTGGTTATGGGAGTCCTGTGTGCCACGTTTGATTCAATTCCATCATTGGTAGAGTTCAGAATGCTTTTTGATTGTAAATAAATATAAATCCTAGCAACTACAACTCCCAAATGACAAAATCTTTTTTTTTTTTTAGTGACGGACACTCCTTGGGTTAGTAGGTGCCTTGTGGCCAAATTTGGCGGCAATTTGTCCAGTGGTTTTTGAGTGATGTTAATCCCACAAGCGAACATTACATTTTTATTTATATAGATTAGGATATAAATAATTCCACCACCATCTCCCTAAAGGGACTCGGGGCAGCTTACAATACCATGAAGTATTTCAATTAAAATCATTATTAGAAATTAAGAGTGAGAAGAGATAAAATGGATTAGGATGGAGGATGAAGCCAGTAACGGAGTGGGAACACATGGGGTGTTTACAATGGCAGAAAGAAGGGTGACTCACAAATCAAACAATAATGAAGGGGATTAAGTAAATCAAAATGGAAAAAATAAGGAATTGGAAAGAAAATATATATTGAAATGGTATAAGACCTCAGTCCAATTTCATGATAAAAGGGGGGGGAGAGGGTTGTCGTGTCAGGAGTGACTCCTGGTGTGAGAGAATTGGCCGTCTGCAAGGACATTGCCCAGGGGATGCCTGGATAATTTGATATCTTTATCATCCTTGTTGGAGGCTTCTCTCATGTCCCCGCATGAGGAGCTGGAGCTGATAGAGGGAGCTCATCCACCTCTCCCCAGATTCGAACCTGCGACCTGTTGGTCTTCAGTCCTGCCGGCACAGGGGTGTAACCCACTCCTCCACCGGGGGC